ATAATCATCTATTTCTGCTCTATTGTAGACTATAATTTGCTTATTTCTAAGCCAATCAGTTCATAAATTCTTTTTTTGATAAACTCATAAATCTTTCTGGCTCTATTAATATGCTAAAATAAAGTTTTTCATTTAGTATTAGGGTTGTGTAAGAATAAAATCATAAATCAGTCATTTGGCCTTTTTTATATCTATCTTTTTTTGATTATAATTTTATTTATACTTTTATCTAGTTTTATAATAAAACTTCTCTAGTACAAAATTTCTGCTTGATTAGCCTTTACTTTTTCATTTTCTGCAATGTATATATTTTCATATAAGTGATATATATAGGGTGTTAAAAGTAGAAACCAGGAAATTTGGCTAATTATAGGTTTTGAAAAAATCAGCAAAACTATTTGTTACACAAAATTAAAACAATTTAAAAATAATTTGTTCAATATTAACAAACCTGTTTAAACAGAATTATTAGATCTGTAGATCATTATTATACTAATATTTGCATCAGTAAATCTATTTTTAAATTATAGTATCAAAAGCTTTTAACCAATATATCACAAAAATTTATTAAATAATCAGACTTTCATTATTAAGCAAAAAATATTAGGCTTTAAATTTTACATCTGATCAATCAAACAGATTAATTTTTAAAAAATTGTTTAATTTCTTGGTTTCTACTTTTGACACCCCATATTTTGCAATATAATTAAATTTGATAGCTCTGCTAAATCTTTTTAAGATCCTATCTTTTCTCAGCAATTATTTTTCTTACAATTTGTTAGTAAACTTTTTATTATATAATTTTTCTTAAATTTATTTATAATAAATCAAATATATTCTGTACAATATTTTTTGCTATTTTTTTCTTATATAATTAAGATTCTTTATTCTAAGTTACAAAAAAGACTCCAGAGGAATCTGATAAATTCTTGGTAAATAATTTATACAATAATTTCTTTTTTTTTATTTTTTTGTTTTCTCATTACTAACTCTTTTTTTATACACCTCATCTAAGAAAGTATCTGTCTCAATTTCTTTTACTGACTTGATGTTTACATTATTATTAGATACTTTGATCACTTTGTGAATAGACTGATCTATAACTAATTTAAAGTTAGATATACTATTATTAGAAGAGTTATCATTTTCTTTACAAATAGGTACATGTTGTTTGGGCTAAACTATAGAAATTATTAATAGCTGATACTTTTGGTAATATCTCTAATATTATTTATTTATTATTTTGTGATTGTTTATTAACTTTACAGAACTATGGTTTACTATTGCAAGTCTAGTCTTAAGTTCCTCAACTCTAGATTTGAGTTCAATATTCTTAGCATCATATTTCTCACTCTTTTCTACAATCTATCTTAAAAGTTTGACAATTCTGTTTTTAAGCTTAGCTTTCTTAACTTTAAATTCAGTAAACTTCCTTATAAAATTAGATACTGTATTTCAATATTCTTATCTTTAGGCTCATCATTCTTAATCTTAATCTTGGCAAATTTCTTTCTAAGCTCAACAATCTTAGCTAAGAACTTAGTATTTAATTCATTTAATGAATTATTAGATTAAATATTTAATATTGTTTAATAAATTTTATACAAAAACAGAAATATTCAAAAGCTTGTTAATATATGCTATATATAGAAACAGTCAAATAAAAAATTAGATTATACTGGCTAATTATAACAAATTTGTTACAGTTTTTTTGACAAGAAAAATTCTCAAACATATGCAAATTAATATATACTAATACAATATAATAAAATAAATAAATTTATAAAATATATATGTGAAATCACTAGCTTTATTGCTGTATTTTTTTTTAGAGAATTACACAATAGGAGTTTGGGGCTTTTGGGATAAAATAGGTCTAACTATTTCTAGAAAGCTATCTAAGAACCTCTAGAAACCCAATTTGATTATTTTTAAATAAGTCTAACGGTTTGTTCCAAACCGTTAGATTTATTTTATATTACTAGAAAGGTTTCTATCAGCTCTAGAAGCTTTATTTAATATTTAGAAATAAGTCTAACAAAAATAAGTCTAACGGTCCTTATTTCTCCATAAATAAGTCTAATGAAAAATAAGTCTAACAGTTTTGTCCCAAAACCCCAAACTTATTGTGTATATATCTAGAAGAGTTTCTATCTGTTCTAGAAGCTTTATTTTAATATTTAGAAATATGTCTAACAGTTTATTAACAATTTTAAATTCATTAGATTTATTTATAAATATCTCTAACTATTCAAGAATTGCTTCTAAAAAGATCTATGTGTTAATTAGCATATTATATATCACGTGACTCTTTTAAATCTAATGAACTTTACTATAGATAAGAACAGCTTTTATATAGCAATAAATAGTATAAATTATTAAATAAGTCTAACGAGGATTTTGTCCCAACTTTTTCTTCTGCCCTGCCAGGAATTTAATAAGTCTAATAAAAATATATCAAGAATTGGCTTCGTACTGGCTAACTCTTCCTAACTAATATATTATTCATTTAAGTCTAACCATTCCGCCCTGCCGGGAATTTATAAATCTAACAAAAAATAATATATTAAAAATTGGCTTCGTGCTAGCTAACTATTCACTCTGCAGATTAAAGATCAAGGAGGATTTAAGTCTAATAATTCTGTCTACCAGAAATTTTATAAGTCTAACAAAAAATAACTCTAATACTTATCTATAAAAATCTAAAAAAATCTGCGAAATTCTGGCCAAAATTAAGGTAAAAAACTAGCTGAAATAATCTTTCCATTACCTTCTTGTATTTTTGATCGAAGTCTATTATAATATTGAGTAACATAATAATCTTTAATATGTAGCAGGCATCGCCCACAAGCAGAGGCTGTAGGCTTCCCACAATCAGAGCATAGTACTCGTTTTTTAGCCTTCCAATGGAATCGGCAACCTTCTGGATGAATGCAAGGCCTATTGCAAGCCTTTCTGGAGAGGCAAAGATACAGACAGAAATATTCACCAATCATCCTATTATCACTAGATTAAAAAAGAATAATAATAATTAGTTAATGCTTCAGTTCTATAATAGCCTAGAAAGAGTCTGGCAACTCTATTCACTTTTTTTCGCAAGCTTAAAAAAAGATATATAGTTAACTAATATATTTTTTCGAATTTATTGCCCCGCAGATCAAAGATCAAGAGGGCGGATCGAAAAGAATAGGAAATAATTAATTAAAGAAAAAAATTTTATAAGCAAATAATAGTGCGACGGTTAGAGCAAACACTATGGTCAGAAAAATAAGAAATGATAAAAAAGGTACAACATGTAAATGTTGTGGATGAGAATGCTCAACTCCTCAAAAACTTCGTGAGCATCTTAAGCAAAAAAATCCTTGCAAAGCATTACAAGATCAGAAAAAAATAGCTGATAGGGTAGATAGTCCCAAAGGGATCCCTCCAATCCTAACTCCCGCTTCTTTTATTCAAGTACCAAATCAAACTTCTAGTGAAATACTTAATAAAGATACTTCATTCAAAAATCCTAAAATCGAATGGAACTATCAGAACATAAAAAGAAAACTAAACACTTTTAAAAACTTACAACAGGAAATATGCAGTAGACTAGAGAACTTTGATAGAAAGCGTTTTTACTTAGAAATAGAAAAAGAGGGTAATAAACCTTATACAGGTATAATTAAATCAAAATAAAGTATGTTTCTAAATTCAGTATTCGAATATTTACAAAGAGATTTTAAAAGAAAAAGAGGAGGTTTTATAGATAAAAAAGGAATCGTAGCTGAAATTCGTAAAGAAATATTTCCAGAAAGTGAAAATGATGCTTATACTCAAGCTCCAACTCCTAAAGTTAATGATCAAAAGAGAAATGAAAAAAATAGATATTTAATTAGTCAGAAAGAAGCTGAAAATTGGGTTAATTCAAATGCTCAAAAGCCTGGTAAGCATTTTAGAACATAGAGAGCAAGATTGCTAAGAAGATGAAAGGAACTTGATCTAGGAGATTGTGACAGACCAGAAGACTTAAATCAATGTATGCTTCTCTGCCATGATCTTGAGCAGTATGATCCAGAAGCAGTTAGACCACCGACAAAAGAGGAATTAGAAAATAGTCCAGGATCTAGAACACAAGCTATTAGAAAAAGTAATAAATCTAAGAGTTTGATTAATAAAGAATTTGAGTGATTAGGAGAAATCAAGGAGGGACAAGAAAAACCGGAGAAGGATTTAGAATTTAGAGAGCAAGAAATAGGAACAGCAGTTAAAAGAAGAGCCATAGCTGTACATCGTGCAAAAGTTCCCAAATCTCATCCAGATAATGGAAGTGATATACGAAAAATGTTAGAAAGCTAAAGAAAATGGTTTAAAGCAATACTTGAAAAAGAATTTGACAAACATAGGCAATTTAAGTTTTCTCTATGTTCTCATATCAAATTTCTTTTAGATGATAAACCCAGGAATGATAATGCGCTAGAAAAAAAGAATTTATGAACTGATTGGCTTAGAAATAAGCAAATTATAGTCTACAATAGAGCAGAAATAGATGATTAT